TTTAAAAAAAAAAGAGGGTGTAATGTTTGGTACTGAAATTAAAATTTATGCTTGAGAATATAGTTTTCTAGTGATAATGTTCAAAATTGTTTCATGTTCTCAATTTCATTTCATCATCTTCATTGTCAAGTCTATCAAATTGTTTCACTAATAACTTGAATTGATTTCACATTATTTTGTTTATAAACATTTATTTGTACAAGTATGCAAAATTTTTGTTCTTTGCTTCTGTTTACACCCAAAAATAGCAAGATCAAAGGGTGACATGTGAAAGGGATCTGACGTTCACATGAGAGTCTTGAGAGTCCACGATTGACGGAACGATTAGAAGAATATGACTCTTAGAATCTTGAGAAATGAAGGAACATGACATCATAAGCTGTCAGTTGAAAATGGTTTAGCACACATTGATGTATCTCAAAGGACAAGGTCATGATCATGAGCAATGGCCGAAAAAGATGAATGGACGGTTGAGAGCCATCTCTATAAATAGCAAAGGCCAGACCACTGAGAAAGAATCTCACGATCAATCACAAAAACTCAACACAAAGCCAACCTAACCTTTTTTGCTTATTTCTTGCTTCTAAGCAATTTTTATTTTCCTTGTAATCCATCACTCCAGTAATCTTTTGTTGTTTTTATTTAATGTTGGCACAACTTTTGCTTTGCCTTTTTAGATTTAAATTCAGTGTGTTTGTTACTTTTCTTTCTTGTAGTTTTCCTTATAGTGTCATTCACACGTTTCTATTGGTGAAATTATTTAAAGCCCTTGAACACCAAGGTATAGAAAAGAACCTAGAGGCAACCTTACGTCTCACTACATTTGTTTGAACAATCATGATTTAGAACCCCATGTCAGTTCAAGCAAATAAGCTTGTACGTATTTGAATTTTAAGTTCACCTAGATTTTAGCACGCCTGCAATCCAAAAATATGTCAAACATATTTTTTGGCACGCCCAGTGGAACAATCAAAGAGACATCAAGGGAACACTAGAGGTAAGGCCAACATTAGCTCATCTAAAGTGCCTCCAGTGCACGAAGTTGTGAAAGAAAATAGGTATGACATCCCTAACTGGCAAGAATTGCCTCTACCTGGGAGGCAAGAGAACTGTGAATCCGACTTAGAACCGGAGGCCTCAATAAAAGCTCTGTCACGCATTGTCTCTAAGAAGGTCTTATGTTTTATCCAAGGCCTGAGGGATTTTATTAGAAAGGAATATGGTCGCACCAGACAAGCACTAGAGCAACTCGTTGATAGTTTGAATAGCCTGGGGGGGCGTGAGACAACCGTTGTTCCCCTTGTGCAGGTAGTTTCAGTGGAAGCACTAGAGTCATTGCTTCCCCAGTATGTGCCACCTCAAACGGCATAATAGGCCAAGAATGGCCACATGTCAAACAACAATCCTCTTTTTCAAGAAGAAATGGTCCCCAATCCAGAGGTTAGGGGACAAAGGAGAAAGCTGCTAATCGTTCTTCCAGCAGCACACCAGATGGTTATGAACATAGATCAACTGGATGAGATCATCCAAGAATATGTCAGCCCTGATATGAGGAGAGTGGTTAGGCCAACATACTGAAAACCCTATTTCGACTAGGTGGACAGAGAATATGAGTATCCTCGGGGGTATATGGTTCTAGTGTTTGCCACGTTTTCAGGTGCAGACAGTTAGTCGATTGTGGAACACAATGGTCGCTTCAGCATGTAGTGCGGTGAGGTTGAGGCTAACAAATTCCTGAAGCTGAGGTCGTTTGTCAATTACTTTACAGGAGCGACCTTTAGGTGGTACATTGATTTGTTGCCCAATTTTGTGATAGGCTAGCAATAACTTGAAGACAAGTTTCACACTTAGTTTTACCGTACTGAGTCGAAAGTAGCCATGGCCGATTTGGTCAGGTTGTACTAGATGGTCGGGGAATCAATAGAGCAATATATTGCATGGTTAAAGAAGGCTAGATATCGATGTAGGTTGGTGTTACCTAAGATAGAATATGTGCGGATTGCACAAAATGGCATGGGTTCCGAACTCTGAAAGAAATTTGAACGGATGGAGTTCAATGACTAGTTTGAGCTACCCACACGAGCTATGTGATATGAGCATATCATGCACAAAGAGATGGAGTGAAGGGACACATCCAAGTGAACGTAATATAGAGTCGCCAACATAGATGGCTTCATGGTCGAGCCATACCAGGAGTTACAAGTGAACATGGTGTAGATCATGGCAAGACAGTTGCACATTGGATTCTATTTGAGTTGTGTAGTGATGGTGTGTGTGTGTTGCACAATTGAGCAGAATTGTGATTTTTAAGGGTCTGAGAATCACTGGAAGACCCAATCAGAGCTTCTAGGCTCTTAAGAATTGAACAAGTACAATGGGGTATTGCAAATAGAGAGTTTATAGTAGTTCACTAGCACAGGAATTCAGCTAATCCACTCTCTAGGGAGTCTCTTGCTCATGGGGAAGATTTTATTAATAAAATGGGGGTAAATTGCACAAAGTATTGCTTAGGTTAGATGCTTGCCTTTTATTGTGAGGGATACGCCTCTTATTTATAGTCTTCCAGGGCCTTCCATGATCTCCTAGTGTGATCCTTACCTCTTCCTTGTAACGGATGTGTTTGTTATGCAATTGTCGTGGACAGCGTTGAGGCTGTTGCGACTTTCTTGCCTAAGTATAAGACTGTTATGGCTTATGCATGGTATTTCAGTGGAAGCCAATTGTCATCCTTGCTATCCTCATGAACTGATGGCATTGTTGCTGGGGAGGATGTGCCGACCTGAATGCACTTGGTTGTTCGTGATCAGCTAAGCGATTCACCTCGGAAGGGCCGAGCTGAACATCTGAGCTCAACCTTAATCATATTCTGAATATCATCATGTAGCATTTTTCTAAAAATATAATTATAATCAAGGTACCATTTGTATGAACATATTTTTTTTCTTATTTCAGTAATTTTTAAGCAGTGGTTTTTTGTTTTGCAACTTGGTTTTTTCAATTTTTCTTTCGTTGAGTTTGTTCTTTCATCCAAGCGTATTCATAGTATATATTCAAATATGCAAATAAACTATTTTAATATTAAAACAAATGCATGTCACTTTTACAAAATACTACATCCTTTTGATTTTTTTGACAAAATTATTTTTTCCTTTATGCAACTAATTAGAGAAAAAAGTGTCAAATTATAAGTGAATATTTCTATTCCTGCGATAAACATTTCTAGCTGCTGCAAGTTCTTGGCACAATTGAAGTACCCACATCTTGGTAGATAAAAGAATTAGTGTTAAGAAAATAATATTCATGAATAAGTTTTGTATCCACATCTAGGTAGATAAAAGCATTAGGTTTTATATGTCAAAAAGAAATATACATTGAGGGTGCAACTTGAATGGGTCAATTCGAATTCAAACCCAAACAAAAGAGAACTTGGGTTGAGGTTTTAATATTTGGGTTGGGCTTGAGTTGAAAAACATCAACCCGAATTGAATTTGAGTAATACTAGGGTTGAGACTTCGGATTATCAGGTTCAACTTGAATTATATAAATCGAGTTCAATCCAATTATATATTCGGGTTCAACCCAAATATTAACTTGGGTTCAACCCGAATATGATGGTTAACCATTGAGTTCAGTATACTTTTTTATTTTAATTTGGCTGTTATGATTATTACGTTAATTTGGCTATTATGTCTTTATGTTAAGAAAAGTGGTAATTTAGTTTTTGTCCAATTTACTTTTTTATGCTTTAAATACTATGGCTTTTATGTTAAACATTTAATTGCAGTTGTTGATTGTTACTTCAGGTGAATATTATGTATGATGTATCAGATTTAGAGCAACAGACAAATTTTGGGCCCGAACAAACTCAACTTGAATTCAAACTAGAAATAAACTCGAATTGAACTTGAGCCCACCTAAATTTAACTTGGACAATATTGAGTTCACTACATCAAGTTAAAGTCAAATTAAGATTAAAATTAGGATTAAAGATTTTTTATAGAATTCAGTCAGAATTAACATTTCAACCCCGCCCAATTTCACTCTTAAATATACGCATGTTCCTACTTCTTATGTGGTCAATTAAGATGATTTGCTCTTAGTCAAAGCCAACTACCATATTGTCTCTTTCAGTACTGTTCAGCAGCCGCCATGCATGTGATCTGCATGTAAAATAAACACTTCATATTGGAATTTATCATTTTAAATAACACATAAAACTTATTTTGATAATCAAATCCTGCCCGCCTCCCAGTAGTCTACACAAGAAAGATCATTGTTCTCATCTATCACCACCTTCACTTGTTCTCTTTGTTCTCCACTATTTCACCTATTCTTTTTCATTCTGCATAAACCCTTATTTAGGTGTTTATACTATAATCACAAGATTTTATCAGCTGGGTTGTGTGTTGTAGCACTGCTTGTCATTTGTGTCACTCACTGGATTTACAAATGGAGGAACCCCAAATGCAAAAATGGAGTGCTCCCTCCGGGTTCCATGGGCCTTCCTTTTGTAGGGGAGACACTTTCTTTGATCATTCCCAGCAACTCTCTTAACCTTCATCGTTTTATAAAAAACAGAAACGAAAAGTAATGCAACTAGATCATTCTTACTACCTTTCAAGTCATTCACAACATACCTACCTATTCTGCTTGTTTATTTTAATCTGTTTATCATTCTTTTTTCTAGATTTAGTATCCTAATAATATACGTCCTCTTGAAATTCAGTTATGAGCCTGTTTTCTGCACAAATGTTGTAGGTCGCTCTCTTATTGTAATAACAGACCCTGAATTCAACTATTTCATTATGCAACGAGATGGGAAATTAGTATAATCATGGTACATGGATGCATTTGCAAAAGTTTTTGCACAATCTGGAGAGATTCAACCAAATACTGCCTATATACATAAATTTATTAGGAACACCGCTTTGTGTTGGTTCGGAGTAGAGAGCCTCAAAGATAGATTGCTTCCTCAGTTTGAAGTATTAGTCCACAAAACCATGGAGAAATGGTCAAGCCAAGAATCAGATGAAGTGAAAAGCGATCTGCAACAGTAATTTTTTAGCTTTTACGCTCTCTAAGAAGACTCTACTAGCAAACTGTATACATTACTAACACTTTTGAGTTCCTTCTTATGGGTGAGTATTGATTTTGGTGCACAACAATTATTTAGTTATGACCCTGAAAAGTCGCCAGAGAAGATAAGTGAATTGTTTAAGGACTTGATTCAAGGTCTTATGGCCTTTCCCTTGAACATTCTTGGGACCATGTACGACAAGTGCATAAAGGTAACACCTATTTATTCTTTCTCCTCTAAAGATCTATTTCTAACATTGAACTCCTTGCAAGCCTCGACTTTTTAAATATGATCAGAATCATAAGATGATGCTGGATATGATGAGGGTTGAATTGAAAAAGATTCGTTTATTACCTGATACCCGTCATGGAGACTTGTTCGATCATATCATCCAAGAAACAAATAATGAAAAATTCTTGGTGGAGGATTTCGTAGTTCAACTAATCTACAGCCTCATCTTCGTCTTTTCTGATTCTATTTCAACCACTTTGGCTTTAGCTGTTACCTTACTTTTCGAACATCCTTTGGCCCTGCATGAGTTGATTGTAAGTAAATTAAGTTTAAACTTACTTTTTAGTTTTTAGTACAACATTAGAACAACCCCTGACCTATATTGATAATGATATGAAATCAATGTCAATTTATCAGGCTGAACATGAGGCCATCCTCAAAATAAGGGAGAACCCTAACTCCCCACTGACATGGAATGACTACAAATCTATGACTTTCACACTACAGGTATGCTCTTCAATTTCAAAGTGTTTTCTCTTTAATAGAACATGCACTTACATATCCTCATAAGATTGTTATGCATGATTGGCAGGTTATCAATGAAACGCTTAGGTTAGCAAATATTTCTCCTGGGTTTGTTTCGCAAAGCGACTGAAGATATCCAGTTCAAAGGTATATATGTGCTCAAATAACGTGGGCTATGTCTTTTTCATGATCATCAAGAGAGTTTAATTGAAAACAACAAATGCTTGCGGGGCATGTTTGTTTTGAATATAAAATTTAGGTGGTATAAGATTTTATATCCATTCCACTCCAATCCAATAGTATATTATACCCAGTGTTAAACTATAATCTCATCATTCTCCTTGTTTGTTTATCGCAAATATTATCTGTGTAATACCTACTTAAAAAAGTCAACAATTTCGGCTAACCAATATAAAATATAATTTTAACTTTTAAAAAATCAAAAATTGCGGTTAAACTTTTATATGGGAATTGTATCGGAAGACATTTCGGTCTTTTTAGTTTATAATACCTATACCAAGAATATAATACCACACCCTAGGTGGTATTCATTAAGACCTTCTACAAGGCATTATGACTACTGTTTATAGCGGGTCGGTATTACGACCCAGAAAATAGTACTGACTATAAAATGCCAAACAAACAACGTATAAGATGAGTCTTATATACTATTTTCCTAATACCACTCTAATACTCAAAACAAACGGCCTGCAGGGTATACAATTCCAGCAGGTTGGCCAGTATTAACTGCTGCCCCTGCAGTACACTTAAACTCCACCAAGTATGAGGATCCACTTACATTTAACCCATGGCGTTGGAAGGTACAAATATGAAAAAAAAAATTCTTTTAGATTTTTAAATCGGTTGTTATTCTTTTTCTTAGTTGATTACAGAAAAGCCATGGCAATTAATTCGACTTTCCTCATTTGTTGTTTTGTCCTTTATAAAAAAAAAAGGATCTGCAATCAAGTTTTATAACCAAAAGTTTCATGCCATTTGGACTCGGCTTGAAGCAATGTGCCGGAGCAGAATATTCTAGTGTGTTTCTCTCAACTTTCCTTCACGGCTTGGCCACCAAATATAGGTAACTTCTTGTTGCAGTGGATACACTCCCTTGCATATATTTAACTAGTAATGATACACTGATCAAATTTTAAGACCAAATTTGGAGCTTAAATGACATGACACTAAAAAAAAAATGCTAAAGTTAGCTGCCATGTCATTTGAACTCCAAATTTGGTTCCAAAATTTAGTCACCGTAGCATTACTTATATTTAACACTTAATCGTGAGGACTAACAATTTTTTTTTCTTTCTTTGTTGGTAGGTGGACAAAAGTAAAAGATGTCAAAATGATACGATCCCCTATTCTGAAGTTTCCAAATGGCTTTCACTTCAAGATTTCAGCAAGGGATGAGTGAAGATTCGGCGATATTTAGTGTTCCAAAATCTTTCGGAATGAAATTATTTATGTGAAATAAAGGGTTTAGGGGTATTTGTTTTCCTCTTGTAATCAGTACCTGGGTAATATTCCAGTCTGTAGCACTTAGTGTAACCGTGTCATGCACAACGTATATGTCTTATTTTTAGAGTCGACTGTTAATCAAACTTATATTAACTCCACCAAGGATATAAATTTCTTAGGGTGTCTGTGTTATCTGCATTTGTTGCTGCATAAATTTCTTTGAAGAGAGTGTGAATTTTGAGCAAGGGTGGCTCAATGTAATTTGAGATCTAAAGCAGAAATACTAAATGAAGTTTTTTTATTTTTAGTATTATTTTTAAAAAATAAAAAATATTTTTAATTTTTTTAAGTGAGAGAGGAGGATGCGATAGTTTTTTTTTGTTTTTTAAGAGAGAGAGAGAGAGAGAGAGAATAGATGTGAGTAAATATGAGTTGACTTTTGAATTTTTTGTATTTATTTTTTAAATTTCTAATGTTATGAATTGAATTGTAGACCCAAATTTTTGAAATTATAATTTTTTGATTGACCTTAAATTTTTTGGGGCTTTTGTTAAGGCCTAAAATTCTTATGAATTTAATTTTTTTACGTGAATTAGTTATGTATCTAAAATTTGGGGCCTAAAACTCATATTTTTTTTTAAAGTGAAAATTAGAAGTGAGTCTTTCTAAATGTACTCGTTTGAAGATAAGTCCTGCAAGAAAACTTATTAGAGACTAAATTCATATTTAAAATTATATGTAATGACTTAAGTTCACATTTTTTTTATCTCAAAAATACCCTTCCTTGAAAGGAAGTTAATTTTTTCTCTCTCAGGTTAAGAGTTTGACTAACATTAAAATTTTTCCTCTCTTTTATCTATCTATATCCATATATAGGTTAGGTATATATATATATATATATATATATATATATATATATATATATATAGTAACATTAAAAAAAAATAGTAACATTCAAATACAAAAAAAAAAGTTACTATGAATTTGAATAGTAAAATTCAAATTCATGTTACTGTTAATGTTTTTGTTTTTCTTGAGTATGTTACTGTTTATGTACTATTATTTTTGAGTATGTTACTGTTTTTGTTGACCATGTTACTACTATTATTTTCTTAAATATTAATATTCAATGTTACTATTTTTTTTTGAATATTACTATTTTTTGTATTTGAATGGTACTATTTTTTGCGTTTGAATTTGAGAGAAATAATTATTGTTAAGTATGTTACAGTTTTTGTTAAGCATGTTATTATTTTTGTTGAACATGTTAATATTTTTGTTGAACATGTTACTGTTGTTATTTTTTAAAAATATTAATATTGAATGTTTTAATTTTTTTATGTTTAAATGTTACTATTTTTTTTGTGTTTAAATGTTATTTTTTGTGTCTAAATGATAATTTTTTTTATTTGAATGTTACTATTTTTTATTTTTAATGTTACTATATATAGATAGATAAGAGAGAGGAAAAAGTTTAATGTTAGTCAAACTCTTAACTTATATATGGATATAGATAGATATGAGAGAGAAAAAACCGGCCCTGATTTTGAGCCAGTAACACTTGAATTGACTCACCAATCCTACATGAGATCAGTGAAAGAAAAGTTGTGGAAACAAATAATATTTAAAATTAAAAATTTTATATTCAAATACCTATCTATCAAAGTTTTGGTGTTAGTCAATATTTGTGAACCGTGAATTCTTTGATGGATGAAATATGAGTATTCGATTCAATATACCGACACCTGTTATATACTAAATTATACGTTTCGAATAAATTCATTTTGTTTGTAGATTTAGAGAAGGGTTGAAGCAGATTCGAAGGTCCTTATAGATCTCCCATGGAAAACTGCTTCGATTGAGAATACCAATAGATTCACCAAAGTCTCAATGTAAAGCATAGTTTAACACAATAAAAGTTTTTCCTTTGGTGAGACATGATGGTTCGGCCCAGACCAAGTCTAGAAATTACAGACCAAGTCTAGTTTAGAAATACAGACCAGGCCTACTTCAAGCATACAGAACAAGCCCACTACAAGATGGGGGAAGATAGATCAAGTCAGCTGCACCATCTTGAGAGAGTCAGGTTAGCTACGTCATGGGGAAAGAGGTCCACAATTGACATGCGAGGAGATCTCCTTGGGACTCGTACATTATTCCCTCCACAGAATTGTCTCACCTGTTACGAGAAGGGCATCACCTCTACTGAACTACCATACTTGATACGAGAAATGTGCCTCAATCTGTTAGGAGACGCCTACAAATTGTAAGGTCCACCTACACAAGGAGGATATTTCTCACATATCACTCACATCTGAACGCCCCTACACTCATTAAAAATAAAACACTCATGTCATCCTAGTCCTTCACAATGGAGTAGGTCACTCTAACCGAATCACTTAAATTGTGTTTTGCTTGTGTTGACTTTCATCATTTATTACTCACTTAACACTTGATAGATGGTGCACAAATACATTTTGTGCATCATTAGTTTGGCGTCGTCTATGGGAATCACTTAGGGGTTGTTTGTTTGGTGTTTTTGTCTCTTGTTTTGTATTTTTGTTTTTTGTTTCATCTTAGTTGTCTTGGAAATAAGCCCAAAAAATAGGAACAAAAAAAATATGTTCCAAGAAACACTAGAAACATAGACAACACACGCAAAAAGGGTAGGGAATTAATGAGATCCGGGCTTCGAGTCCTCTTAACAGCAAAACAAAGTTTTTTTTTGTTGAAGTGTAAAAACCCATTTCATCATTTCTCTCTCTCTCCTTTTGTTGTATCAGACCACCAGACGAACCATTGCTACCTCTGCCTCCACCTTCGCCTCCATTGCTGTCTCACTCTTTCTATTGTGTTCTCTGTGCTCCTTGTGGAAGATGAAGGAGCTCTTTCTCTCTCTCTCTCTCTAGACTATGCTCTATGTGAAACCCACAAGACGATGCTCTCTTTATGTCTTGCTCTCATTCTCTGTGAAACCCCTTCAATCCAGTTTTAGTCTCTCTTATTTTCTCTCTCTTCTTCCTCAAAATCTCCCAAATTACACTTAATTCATACACACATATACATATATGACTATGTCCATATGGAATTTGGCATCATGAAGAAGAAACCCAAGCTTTTTCATAAACCCTAATTAAGCATTTCTCCCTTAATTCTGTGTGAGTAGCACTAGATTTTGTGGGTTTGGTTCTAATTTATCTTCCTACATATATTTGTGGCTTATATCTGAGAAGAGAAGACATGATAAAATGAAGGCGATACCACATCCAATACCGAGGACTGTAGAGGAAGTGTTCAACGACTTCAAAGGCAGAAGGGCTGGTTTGATCAAGGCTCTTACCATTGGTTCGTTTCTGTGTGTGTTGTGTTTGGGATTGATTGCCATTTGGTATTAATTGAATTTTTATTTGGAATTGTTGAATTGATATTTTGGATTGATTGAATTGTGATTTGGGATTATTGATCATATCATTAATTTATTAAATTAATTCAATTTGTTAAGTCTCAATATCATTGTTGGAAAAAAAAAAAAGGGAGACCTAGGGATAAAACTTGAAGTAGTTACCAAACATGTTTTTTATTTTTATTCTCATAATTTGATAGATACAAATAACTCCCAAACATGTTTTCTATTTTAGTGTTTACCACAAAACAGAGACAAAAATTGTCTCTATTTTTTTTTATTTTTTTGAAGACGCGAAACAAAAATGTTACCAAACGACCCCTTAGTTTTTACCCAACTATTTTTTTTTTTTTTTGTGCTTATAGCTATTACGACTAGATCCATGAATCAATAAACAGAAGATGATCAACAACGCTAGGAGGAGCTTCTACCCCTGCCAGAAAACCTTGTTGTTGAACCACAATTGTAAAGCCCCAAAATCTGGCGGTCTTTTCTCAACCGTTGATCATCCATTAACACGTGGTATTACCTATGTATGTCGTATGACCCAACAAAACATCATTGCATCCCCTTCACTAGGATCATTGCAACCCCTTGCACCGGAGCACTTCCCAACACCTACCTATACATACATCCATCACACGACCATTCCAAGGTCCAAGGTCCAATGATTATGCTTATTATTACCCATTTATATCATCTAAGGAGGAGCGCTCAAGATGTGAAGTCCCCTTAGTGTTACATTTTAAAATTTCAACTTTTGGGAAGAGGTACCGGCACTTAGGCCTTCTTTCTCCCAAGTGCCGGTACCTATATACACTGGTACCGGTACCTGAGCTCACTATTTTCTAGGTATTGGTACCTTTATATTGTGGTACCAGTACATGAGCGCACTGTCCATCGGGGTATCAGTACTTGGTGCCTAGGTACCGGTACCTAGGGCTACTGAAATTCAGATACTGGTTCCTATAGGTTTAGATACTAATACATGAGTCATCTGATAACGTGGTACCAATACTTAATCACTTAGGTACCGGTACCTAAGCCCATATTTTCCCCAAATCTTTCTAATCTCCAACCTTTAACTATCTAGTCACTTCCCCTACTCATCCATCCATTCATAAGAGTTCATTACATAACCTTTTATATAATTTTACAAGTCAATAAAAATTACATAATGGATTACAAAATGCAAATTGAAAAGCAACATCTTGGCTTCTTCATCAATAAGGGCCCAATTGAGGACCGTTCACCGACACTTGTTCAGCTCCTGAAATATGTCTCATAAAGAGAGAGTCATGCTCAATAGGGTATCTTCTAAAGAGATTACTCCTCAACCCAGATGTATATGAAATGTTCACATGTAATTCGTCAATTAATTATACATTCTAGAATATACAATTTATAAATGAATGCCAAAATATCGTGTCATTTTATGAGATGAAACTCACAGATGCAATGCAACCCGAGCCCTCTATTGGCTCCCATAACACATATAATATCATTCGTATACATCCGGACATTCTAAGCTCCTACGCTTGATTTTACACATC